GCAACCTCAAACTCCTGGGCTTAAGTGATTCTCTTGCCTCAGCCTCCCAAGTAGCTGGGACTACAGGCACCCACCACAACGCCCAGCCATTTTTTGGGTTGCAGCTATTGTTGTCTAGCTGGCCTGGACCGGGCTCGAACCCCCCACTTTCTGTGTATGTGGCTGGCACCCTACTCACTGAGCTACAGGCGCCGAGCCTTTTTTATTTTTTTATTATTTATTTATTTATTTGAGACAGAGTCTGTCTCTGTTGCCCAGATTAGAGTGCCATGGCATCAGCCTAGCCCCCAGCAACCTCCAACTCCTGGGTTCAAGTGATCCTCTTGCCTTGGCCTCCTGAGTAAGCTGGGTCTAGAGGCGCCACCACATGCAGTTAATTTTTCTGTTTTTAATACAGACAAAGTCCCTTGCTTAGGCAGGTCCAGGTCCAGGTTCTTGAGTTCAAAGGATCCTCCCGCCGCTACCTCCCAGAGTGCCTAGGATTATAGGCATGAGCTACCACCCTCAAGAGCTCACACTTTCTAAAACAGTGCTTAAGGTTCTGGAGTCCTGGGAAAAGACCTTGAGTCCCATCCCAGCTCTACTGCTTGTAAGCTATGTGACCTTGAGCAAGTCACATGTACTTGGACAGCCTCCCTTTCATCATCGGTAAGATGAGGATCATTGTATTTAATTTTGGCAGACTGCCTGACACATGGTAAACATTGAATGGATGATTTCTGTATTATTATCACCTAAGTAATACTACACAACACTGGCCCCATCCAAACTCTGTATTAATCGTGGGAATTGCTTCAGCTAAAGTTTAGCTCTATGACCAAAAGAGAAAAATAAACCGAAACCCCTGGGATCCCTGGGGAACTGCTCTGGACTGAAGCAGGAAAAAACAGGTCTCTTCCACTCCCATCCTCATCCTGAGCCTGCAGAGCAAGTTTCAATCTTACCTAAGAATGGGATGAAAAAAGGGACAAATCTTTTTGCATCAAAGCCTCTGTGAGTGGGTGTTGTGTGGGGAAGGGTTGGGGGCTGGGACGGGTCTGCAGCAGCAAGCTCCTTCCTGGGGGTGGGAATGGGGCAGAGCAGGAAGAGCTCACTGCAAAAGGGAGAAATGGAATTTGCAGCTCTGTGCAAAGAGAGCAGAGAACCCTGTGGGAACTGCAAACCCACGTCTCTGGGAAGTTCAGCAGGTAGTAATAGGATGAGGGCACGCGAGAAAATGTGCCCGTCATGTTCTGTCTTCCCTCAACTTTTGATGGAGACTTGGGCTCACAGAAAAATATCTTTACTATATTAGAACACAGGGCGGTGCCTGTGGCTCAAAGGAGTAGGCACCGGCCCCATATGCTGGAGGTGGTGAGTTCAAACCCAGCCCTGGCCAAAAACTAAAAAAAAAAGAGGAGGGTAATGATAAATGGGGACCAATAAGGGCACATGGTTGGGAGCGCCCAGAAGTAGAGGGGATGGCAGGAGACTAGGGGGCTCCCTGGGGGGGTCTGCCCCATCCATCTCAGGGGTAGTTCCTGCTCAGGCCTTGCCCACTGTCACCCTGGGGGATCATGTGTCAGTGAAGCCACATCCTCCACTTCACCTGACAGAGCACAGAAAAGTAGGTTCATGGCTCGGTGCCCGTAGCTCAGTGGCTAGGGTGCCAGTCATATACACAGGAGCCGGCAGGTTCAAACCCAGCCCGGGCCCACCAAACAACAATGACAACTACAACCAAAAAATAGCCGGGCATTGTGGTGGGCATGTGTAGTCCCAGCTACTTGGAGGCTGAGGCAAGAGACTCACTTAAGCCCAAGAGTTGGAGGTTGTTGTGAACTGTGATGTCACAGCACTCTACCCAGGGTGACAGCTTGAGGCTCTGTCTCCAAAAAAAAAAAAATCCATGAGCAATTGTATATCAACAGACTGGACTCGGCCTGTAGTACTCTTGTCCACTTCCCAACCCGCACAACTGTCCATAGCAGCTCTTATGATGCCATCTCAGGACACGGGAAGGCTTACAGACCACCAAGAGGCTCTTGGGTCACACCTATGAACTCTCAAGTCCCTTGAGAAATAATTCCTCTGTTACCTTTGTCTGAACCAGGACTCAGTCAAAGCAGCAAATAGGAAAATGTGGCCCTATTGGTTCCCATGGGTCACCATTGATAGTGAGATGGGGACTCCTGCGATGGTGGGTCAGTAGGCACGGGATAGGCCTTCCCAAGGGATTCCAAGTCCTGCCAAGGTAGGAGAGGTCTCACACACACCTTTATACAGACCTAAAGAGGTGAAGGCCCTGGCCAAACATCACACAGCTAGTCAGAACAGAGCCAGGTCAGGGGCCTGCCCATTCCCAGTGTCCCTTCCCTGCTGATATAGAAATTCCTGCCCCTCGGCTCGGCGCCTATAGCTCAACTGGCTAAGGGGCCAGCCACGTACACCTAAGGTGGCGAGTTTGAATCCCCTGCCCGGACCCGCCAAACAACAA